AAGTGGTGCGTGTACAACTATAAGTGGTAGTACATTAATAGTTATAAAACTAATGGCCCATGCAACATCGAAATCCACTAATTACGTTCTATTTGAAACGAAGGTGACATAAAAAATCGCTCATACTCTATTAATATAATGAGGTGCGCCTTTTAAGTAATTGCCCTTCGTCGATCCGTAGGGCGCGCGTGTTGATAAACGACGCTGATTACAGAAAATATCGGCACTAGCTACTCGATTTACCAAAGAAAAATACCCACCCCTCGTCGTCGCATCACGTTTACAGGGCACCGGGCGCTCAAGACGTCGACGATTCGGCGAAAACATGCGTCCACTTGTTTGTAAACAAAGGGGCGAGCGCGACGCCGACGATGCCGGTACGTCATCGGCGAAAAAACGGCTGGTACTGATCTCGAGCCCTCCGGCGACGGTGTACGCGTCTGGCGGCGCGAGCGTCGGCGTCGCCGATTTGTGTGCAAACAGGTGTTCGGTGTGTTGTGCGCGAAGGGTGAGATTGGTTTATGAATGTGAGAATTTTCGACGTGCGCCACAAAGGGAGTCGAGGGGGCGCATGTTTTATTTACGCGAAAGTTTAGAAAGTCGGAAGGGAATTTCATTTTTAATAAGCGACACTTTTCGAAAATTGGGTCATTCCGACCCGTATTTCGTAATTTTAGTTTTTCCGAGCCTTAGCTTAGAAGATGAATTTCATTTGCGAAGTTGCGAACGCAATACAGATTTGTTTATCCCCATACAGCTATGGATACGCCATCTTGCGATGGAACTGAGCAAGTAACGGAAGGTTATGTGCTACTGATCAAATTAATATTTCTATATGGGTTTAACTTCGGACCAATATAAGCAACTTTCTTTATTGTCAAGGAATATAACGTTTAACTAGGGATGGGCATTTTATTTCCAGTTTGAAATTATGTTTTCCTTATACGTTTTAACGTTTATTTCCTGATACTTTTAAACGTATCAGGACACTGCAAAAATCGAAGGGGTCCCAACTTTTATACTCCTATGAAAATTTTAGTATTAAGAGTGTATAAACCCTTATTAATAATTTGAATTTATGCACTCCTGATAACAACTCACTCTTCGGTAGGATTTTCCCATGAGATATGAGTTATCATCTTCTTTCTGTGTGCTTATAAAATCTGCTGCTTTAGTATCACAAAAACACAAAGCTCGAATGAGGGCATGTAGTTCATTATTAGTATCAAGAAAATATAAAATTAAACCGTTGGGCCATTAACATCATGGGCATTAGCTCCTGATAAGTTCCCTATTAAAACTGATAGCCTCTATCAGGTAAACATAAAGGTCAAATTTGGCCACTTAGTTCATTAACAACGCGTAGGGATATGTGCTCCTAATAGGAACTCCTGATACAACATCGTCTGTTTTGGTAACAGGGGATCATAAGGCATAAACAGCGGGTAGATTTATATGCTCCTAATACAATGTACCTTTCTGTAGGAATACCTTCTTTTCCACTAACGGATCTCTAAATTAATTAACGGTTTCAGTATCAGCAGAGAATAAAGGCGTTTAGTTCGTTAACAGCATGAGCATTTGCGCTCCTAATACAAACTACTTTTTTTTATAACTTACGGTTGTGGATCAATATTAAAACTGATAGTCTATATCAGGAGAACATAAAGCTCGAAAGGGCCGCTTAGTTCACCAACAGCGTGTGGGGATATGTGCTCCAAATACAAACTCCTGATACAAATAACTTATTTATGAAGTAGGCTTGTGGACGCCTATTATGTATGATCGACTGTTTTGGTATCAGGGGATCATGACGCTAGAATAGGGGTGATGAGGTCATAAACATCGGGTAAATTTATATGCTCCTAATACAAATTACCTTTCCGTTAGTTAAGATTACCTTCCCCTCCACTATCGGATCCCTAAATTGCTGAACTGTTTCAGTATCAGGAGGGAATAAAGATCAAACAATGGCGTCTAGTTTGTTAAAAACAACTTCTTTATACGGTAAGATTGGGTATCCCTATCAGGAGAACATAAAGCTCGAATGGGGTCGCTTAGCCCACTAACAGCACGTGGGAAACGTGCTCCTAATACAAATAACTTCTTTACGAAGTAGGCTTGTGGACCCCTATTAAAAATGTTTGACGGTTTTGGTATCAGGGGATCATAACGCTCGAATAGGGGCGATGAGGTCATAAACAGCGGGAGATATATGCTCCTAATAAAATTACCTTTCCGTTAGTTAAGGTTATCTTCCCCTCAACTATCGGATCCTTAATTTCTGAACTGTTTCAGTATCAGGAGAGAATAAAGATCAAATAATCTAGTTCGTTGACCGCATAAGCATATGCGCTCCTAATACAAACCACTTTTTTATACGGTAAGATTGGGGATCCCTATCAGGGGAACATAAAGCTCGAATGGGGTCGCTTAGCTCATTAACAGCACGTGGGAAACGTGTTCCTAGTACAAATAACTTCTTTACGAAGTAGGCTGGTGGACCCCTACTAAAACTGATCGACTGTTTTGGTATCAGGGGATCATAACGCTCGAATAGGGGCGCTTAGGTGATAAACAAAGGATAGGTATATGCTCTTTCTGTTAGTAAGATTACCTATTGATTAATTGTTTCAGTATCAGGAGAGAATAAAGATCATATAAGGACATCTAGTTCGTTAACAGTATAAGCATATGCACTCTTAATATAAACATTTTTATAAGGTAAGATTACGGATCCCTATTAAAACTGATACACTGTGTGAGGAGAACATAAAGCTCGAATGGGATCGTTTGGTTCACTAACAGTGCGTGGGGATATGCGCTCCTAATACAAATAACTTGTTTGTGAAGTAGGCTTATGCACCCCTATTAAAACTGATCGACTGTTTTTGTATCAGGAGCTCATCACGCTCGAAGTTAACGGATCGCTAAACATGAAATCTTCCAATATCAGGAGAGAATAAAGATCAAATGGGGGCATCTAGTTCGTTAACAGCGTCGATATGTACACTTAATTCAAGTAACTTTCCGGAACGGTATGGTCGCCTATCTTCCGGATACAAATGGCTTCCCTGTAAGGCAAATCTCATATCTTACGGATTTTTCATAAAATTGAAGACTGTTCAGTATCAGGAGAGAATAAAACTTCAGTGGGGCGGTAGGTTCCTTTTAAAACTTAGGGACTGTTTCGTCCGGAGAACATAACCTGAAAAAGGGGCGATTAAGTCATAAACAGCGGGTAGATTTATATGCTTCTAATACAATGTACCTTTCTGTAGGATTACCTTCTCTTCCACTAACGGATCTCTAAATTAATTAACGGTTTCAGTGTCAGGAGAGAATAAAGATCAAATAACAAAATAGCTTGAGCATATGCGCTCCTAATATGATCTATATCAGGAGAACATAAAGCACGAAAGGGCCGCTTAGTTCACCAACGGCGCGTGGGGATATGCGCTCCAAATACAAACTCCTGATACAAATAACTTCTTTGTGAAGTAGGCTTGTGTCCCCCTATTAAAACCGATGGACTGTTTTTGTATCAGGAGCTCATAACGCTCGAATATGGGCGATTAGGCGCCCTCCTCGGCTAACGGATCGCTGAACTCATGAACTCTTTCAGTATCAGGAGAGAATAAAGATCAAATGAGTGCATCCAGTTCGTTAACAGCGTGAATATGTACTCTTAATTCAAGTAACTTTTCGGAACGGCACGGTTGCCTATCTTCCGGATTCCTATTCAATCTAACGGACTCTGTTAGTATCAGGAGAGCATGAAACTTCAATGGAAACTTCTATTCCACTAACAGCGTAGGGATATGCAAAATTCCTATAAGATAAGCTCCCACATCTTTTTGAATCTTAATAAATCAGATAGACTGTTCTTATTTCAGGGACGTGCTCCTAATAAAAATGGCTTTCTTGTAATCTCTTATGGATTTCTAATAAAATTGATGTCTACCATCAGGAGAGTATAAAACTCCACTGGGGCGGATATTTTTTTAACAGCGTGTGTATGTACAACTGCACATTTTTACCTCAGCTTCCAGGTTCCTTTTAAAATTTAGGGGCTGTTTCATTCGGAGAACATAACATTTGGACGGGAGCGTCTAATACATTAATGGCGTGTGGATATGTGCTCCTAATAGTGGTTTCGGTATCAGGAGAACATCATATTTGGATAGGAGTTCCCATCATAATAGTGTTTCGGGAGTGACCAGTGAGTTCACACCAAAACTTAAGAATTTTCTCAGTACTAAAATAATTGTTTGGAACGAGGCTGGTATTGCACGAATTTTATGCACATCCACCGAACGTCCAGATCTTTGGTTATAGAGTAATTCTTAGAGACAATAATGGTATTCAATCAATATTGTAAAACATCCACCGAACGTCCAGATCCTTGGCTATAAAATAAGTTTTTGGAACGAGGCTGGTATTGCGTATATTTTTCGCAACATCCACCGAATGTCCAAGACCTTTGATTACAGGGTAATTCTTTGGGTCGATATTGGTATTGTACGAATCTTCTATAACGTCCACTGAACGTCCAGAACTTTTATTATAAGATAATTTTTTGGAACGATACTGATATTGCATGATTTTTATGCACATCCACTGAACGTCCAGATCTTTTGGTTATAGAGTAATTCTTAGGGGCAATAATGGTATTCAATCAATATTGTAAAACATCCACCGAACGTCCAGAACTGTTATTATAGGATAATTTTGGAATTGCACGAATCTTCTAAAACGTCCACCGAACGTCCAGATCGTTAATTGTGCATGCTATTTTGTAATTCTAATGTTCACATTAAGGGAATGAATCCCATCAGTATAAATGCGATGGTAATCACACTTCGGCGATCAACACACCTTGAATAATTGATGTAAATTCGAGGTCGGTATCGTCTCATAACATTATATTAAGGACGATATAAAGCGTCGTAAATAATTCCAACGGGGATACGTCGATAACGCGATTAAATTTGTAAACATTCCGGGAAAAGGGGTTCGTTAACTATTTACCGCCCCCTTAAAACTTTGTACATAAATATTTATAAAGAAGCAAAATTATTGTCACAGTTTACTGGATCACAAAATGGTTTAAAAGTCGATGTCCCAGTCGGAAAGCTCGTCTGGAGGTATATCGACGTCCTTGTCGAAGCAATCGAAGTTGGAGGTGTCGCATGGTCCGCGTACCAGTTTCGTGATGGGCACCGGAAGGCTGCGCGCTCGTAGTCCGTCCCAGTCGAAACCTTGGAACCACCTGGAAAATACAATGATTCACCCGGCTAAGCCAAGAGGAAGGTTTACTTGTGTTTTTTGATGTCCTGTATTCCTCCACGTTGGTAACCGAGTCGTTCTGAAGGCAGATCTCTGCACAGCTTTTTGATCAGGCTCTGAGCGGATCGGCTCACGTTGTGCTTCTCGAAGTCGATCATGTCGATTCCCTTCAGGATCAGGTTGTAGGTCTTCATCGGGTCGGACGCGGTGAACGGTGGGCTAAAACATGAAACCGTGGGGAAAGTTCGCCACGGAACCGACTTACCTCCCGGTGAGGAGCTCGTACATCAGGATCCCCAGCGCCCAGTAGTCGACGGCTCGGTCGTGACCCTTATTTAAAATCGTTTCCGGGGCGACGTACTCAGGCGTGCCGCAAAAGGTCCAGGTCTTGCTGCTGTATCCCAAACGTTTCGAGAAGCCGAAATCCACGAGCTTGACGTAACCGTCGTTGTCCAGGAGGAGATTCTCCGGTTTCAGATCTCTGTAGATGATCCCCCTGTTGTGGAGGTAGTCGAACGCCTCGATCACGCAGGCCGTGATGAAGCGCGTCGTGTGGTCGTCGAAGCAGGCGCGGTCGCGCAGTATCGTCCAGACCTCTCCGCCGAGGCACGCCTCCAGCAGCATGTACACGTACTTGGAGTCCCTAAAGGTGCGATACAGTCGGCAGATGAACGGACTTCGGCAGCACATCATGATCATCTTCTCGCTGAAGATGTGGTCCTGCTGTTGCGTGTCGACGATATGTTGTTTCTTAAGGCACTTTAACGCGAAGGTCATCGACTGGTCGTTGGCGTATTGCACCAGCTCGACTCTGCCAAAACCTCCCACTCCCAACGTGGCGATGATGTCCAGGTCGTCCAACCTCATGTAGTCGTACTCTGAAATGAAGCAGTGGAGTTTAGACTATCGGTGCCGGGGCACTCACCTTGTTTTTCAGCACAGACGCTGGCGACGCTACTTGGACGCATCAGCATTCGTTGGTCATCACCGTAGTCCTTCTCCTTAAACACGCTCAGGTCGCCGATGAGCTGTATGAAGGATTCCCGATCTAGTGTCAGACACTCAACGCCGGGACTCATCGCGATCACCGAGGCGGTGCGACATTCCTCCCTGAGCAAAGCCTGCTCGCCGAAGTAGTCGCCGCGCGTCAGCGTCCTAATATCCTCCTCGTCCAAACCACCCGAGATTCTCTGCGTAATCTTCACGTTGCCACTACTAATAATAAAGAAGGTGTCCCCGCTCGCACCCTGCCTGACGATGTACGCGCCGGACGGGTAAAATTCCTGCAATCACTCGCACTGCACCAACTACCCTTAACGCGTCGGATACTTACAACTTCGAGCACGTCGGCGATTTTCGCCAGGACGTCGTTGCTGAGATTCGCAAGTAGAGGAACGGACCTGAGGAAGTTGATGTTGTCTTGTAAACGCTGCAGACCGGTGCGCACCATGATCTGCTGGAAGACCTTGCGATCCAACACCCACACCTTGGAGTCGGTGACCACTGCAAAGAACCAGGTCACGCGCGCACTGTAACTCAGGCGGTTTTACCTCGGATCGACGCAGTTCGCGTGCAATTGTACAAGATGGCGAGCTCCCCGAACGCCTTGCCCGAACCCATCCGTCCCAGGACCTTATCGTCCTTGATCACCTCGAAGTCGCCTTCGGCCGAGACGTAGAGGTGAGCGCCGGCGTCCCCCTCCCTGATCACGTAGGACCCGGCCTCGCACTGTCGCGGGTACATCGAGTCGACTATCTCGCGCACCTGCAGCGAGTCGAGGTGCTTCAGGAAGTTGTTATCCATGATGGCGTCCTTGATCAGCTGCTTCGACCTGAAGTCCTTCTCGTGCTTCTGGACGTGTATGTCGCCCGCCGGCCCGATGATGTCGCTCGATTCGGCCGACACGCCCTGCTTCTTGTTGAAGGTGACCGCGGCCGGCGGGACGCGGTTCGCCATCGCGTGCTGCTCCTGCAGGCTGGTGAGGATGTCGCTTTCATTGCTGAAGCACGTCGCCTGCTGCAGCACGCTCTGAAACCGAGAGTTTCGGTTTAAATTTTTGTTTGTTTATCAAATGGACTGAAGGCTAATTAGCACTTCCCGGTTAAATACAGTATACGATGTATCAGAACCTGACGGCAGGTGCATTACGCAACCCAAAAGTCATGTTTCAACCAGAAGCCTAAAATAATTATTTGAACTACTCGATCAGGAAAAGATTATGCCCCTTTTTGTGCTTCTGAACCAAGCTCGAAAAGATTCTAAGAGAGTTACAAAAGGATCCTATGAAGATTCTAACGTAGAAGTTCCTGAGAAGATGGTAATAGACCCTAACAAGGTATTTTCTTGTTCAAAAAAGAAGATAATTTCAAACACGCCCCTGATGAACATCCCCTCTGTGGATCCAAATGGGCCATAGGTAGTTGCTAATGTTTTTTTGGAATTGCTTTATTTTTATTTATTTTATTTTATTATTTATTATTTTTTTATTTTTATTTTTATTTTTATTTTTATTTTTATTTTTATTTTTATTTTTATTTTTATTTTTATTTTTATTTTTATTTTTATTTTTATTTTTATTTTTATTTATTTTTATTTATTTTTTTATTTATTTTTTATTTTATTTTATATTTTTTTAATTTTATTTATATTTAATTGATACGATACGATTGGCCGAGGTAATTAGTGCTGCAAACTCATCCAGATCTAACTTTATCTCTTCTAATAGAGCGCATAATTCATGCAAACGGCGCACAATTTTATTTAACATTACAAAACGGTTCAAATTGTACGTTTAGTTAAGTAAAAAAAGATCCTAGTCGATTACGCTTTCACGCCATTATATTCAAACAGCGCATAAATTTTTTTTCGAAATTGGTTTCTAGTCTATAACTTTTGATTAAGAAGTCTGATCGAAAAAGTACGAATTGATTTGGATTCTACGCGCCCAAATTAATAAGAAAAAGTGTTTTCCCGAGAAATTTTGGTGTAGTCGATTTTTGGTAAAAAAGGAAGGTTATACACTGCCTTTTTTTGAGCCCCGATAAAAAAATTGTCTCAGATCGACCCGGAAAAAAAAATTTCTTATAGAATGTGGGCTGTAGAATCCATAATTTCAAATTAGTTAAGTAAAAAAAGATCCTAGTCGATTATGCTTTCACGCCATTATATTCAAACAGCGCATAAACGGCGCACAATTAAGCAATTTTGAAATGGTGCATTCAAATCGCGCGTAGTTTGTGTTTGTATTAGACATTTTTTGTTTAGTGAGAATTATCAGGGCCATGAAATTTAGTTTATGAAATATTAATTGCTCTTTTTGCTACTCTGGCGCACAATTCTGTTTCAGAGGCGCACAATTTTACTTAAACAATGCAAAACATTACATACTGTACGTTTACTTAATTTCACAATTTTGCACAAAGATTTGAAACAGTCAATTTATCCTACCAGATCGAAAAATTCTCTTAAACTACCCTAAACAACACATAATGGCGCACAAATAAAAATGGTTTTCTGTAGCAGCGCATAGTTTGTCAGCGACGGTCAACTCATCCTAATCGATTAAGGTTTTTATTTGTGAGGGATGGCGCCCGGCTGTCGTGTCGTGGCCAAGGGTTTGCACGGGGTAAAACGACACCTAGTGGGCTAAGGATGGTGCAGGGGGAGGGGGTGCTTGAACGGCTTGGACAACCTCAGGAAATAACCTAAATGCTAAGGGTCCGAAGGCCGGACCAAGAGGATGCGTCGCTCAATAGAGGGTCAGCATCTACCGACCCCAAACTCGGAGCACCGGGCGCCACTGGTGCAGGGGCATTTCTTTCCCCCTTACTCGTGGGACTTATATAGGAAAAACAATAACAACCAAGTACTCCCACAGTACCTAGTATTGGAGAACCTAAATAACTTTCCGAGATAGCGGACTTCCTGGGACAAGTTGGGGGCCACTTGTAACCATCGACCCCACCAGGGTGACGTTCAAAGTCCAAGACGGCGGTGCGGGGCGAGGATGTAACAAGCATGGTGTACGAAGATGCCACAGCAGTTGAGGGGCCTTCGGGGGAACCAGAACAAACTGTGCCAACCACGGCACTTCAGTAGGTAAGCCCGGTTTTACAATCAAATTAGGGCGGCATCTGTAGCCCTGTAACCTTGGACCGACAAAGGGCTAATACGAGGGGAGCGCCGTGGCGTAACTTCATTTTAGAGGCCCATTTTATTTGTGCATAGGTAAATGCTGGAGTGTTAAAATTACTTAGCGGCATTCATTTCGAAATACAACTTCAGTCCAAGGTTACCGTATCCAGGACCTCCAGATACCTTCTGGACTGGAGAAGGTCCCGCTAATTAACAAAGTATTTCATTTACTTTATGTAAGAAACTTGAATGTTATTTTTCACAAATGGGAAAGGAGTGGAGTTGGCTACTTTTGAGCGTATCAAATTTTGCATTAGATTAAAGTCAGATTTAAATCATTCAAATCCAAAAGTTTGTTGAGATTGTTAATTTTTGTATATTGCAGATATTGCTCCAAATTTTTCACCTATATTTACCCTCCGTGCGTAATGATTCAGAATTTTCTTTGGACTGTAATTGTAAACTGTAAAAACAAGTATAAATTGTGCACAACTCTTGTGCAGATAAAGCGCATTTTTTTGTAACCGAAATAGCTTTTGTTTTGACAACACCAATGGATATATTTCTTACAGACGTCTCAATCGCGCTTTGTGAGTACCCTCTTCTGACAATCCCTTCTATGGGGCTATGGTTTGTAGAAATTAATTCCTTTCGTTGAGACCTTTCATTAGAGTACCATGAAGGATAAAACTAGTTCCACTCCCCCCCCTTCCCCTCCATCCCGTACTGTGATAAGAGGACAGAAAGAAGGGCAGTAATTGGTAGAAAATGGTTCTTTTCGTTGAGACCTGTAATTGGAATTCCCCCCCTCAATCTCTAAAAAGATTTTCACGGGAAAGTTATAGTTTGTTATAGTTTGTACAAACCAATTTATGCCCCCCCCCCCCCCCCATTTTCTAAAGTTTAACTTGGCACGACTAAAAGCATGCGTATGCAAAATCTGAGACCAATTGCTTGGCGTATGTAAAAGTTATGCACGTTTTACTTTCAAAAACAGTATCTAAGGAAATAATTCGTGGGGGGGGGGGGGGGGGTCCCCTTTAGACAGCGAAATTTGATGGCCGTCTGGCACACCTTCAAGGTATATGCTACCTACTGCAAAAAATTCCAGGACTCTAGGACCATTCCCCTAGAAGTAGTTCCAAACGGCAGAATTGGGTCCGGACGGATGGACTGACATGACGGACGGACGGACTGGATTCTTTAAGAATTATAAAAAATGTGTTATTGTTTGCGTTTTGCCCGTCCGTCCGTCCGGACCCACTTCTACCGTTTCGAACAACTTCTAGAGGATGGTTTTGCATTAAACTTTAGAAAAGGGGGGGGGGGGGGGCTAGACACATGTTCTACTCTTCATGGTATTCTAATGAAAGGTCTCATCGAAATAAATTGGTTTGTACAAACTATAATTTTCCCGTGTGACTCTTTTTCCAGATCAGTGAGCGATGGGGCTTGAGGGGGGAGGGGGGGGGGAGGAAAAATTAATGTTATTTCTCATTGTATTCTAATTACAGGGCTCAGCGAAAGGAGCCGTTTTCTGCCAACTACTACTGCCCTTCTTTTTGTCCTCTTATCAAAGTACGGAGGGGAGGGGGAAGGGAGGGGAGTGGAACTAGTTTTATCCTTCATGGTACTCTAATGAAAGGTCTCAACGAAAGGAATTAATTTCTACCAACCATAGCTCTCCTCCTCGACCTCTTATCGTGATCGGATGTATTCCCTTATACCTCAAACACGGATTGTCGGAAGAGGGTACTCACAAAGGGCAATTGAGACGTCTGCAAGAAATATATCCATTGCTGATGTCAAAACAAAAGCTAATTCGGATTTAAATAATGCGCTTTATCTGCACAAGAGTTGTGCACAATTGAAGAAGTTCGAGAAATTTTCAATTTTTTTCAGAATATAGCATAAACGAATTAAATTCTTTGTACATTTTAGTCGGGGCCCGTTCTCATTCTGTTGGCAGTAATGCTGACAGCAGAAAGAGATGGGAGCGAGGGAGGGCTCTACCACCAAGCATAGAAATTACCAAACTGACGGATCACTGTCAGCGGAAAGGACTCCTTCTCGAATGTGAAGGGCAGCGCCGACATCAACGGAGGAGGTGAGTCTCTCCTAAGTTATATTATCAACAATAACTAACCAGCCAACCTTCGTCAATAATCGACGAAGGGAGGTAATTAACATAACGTTTGGAACTGTGACTGCCAGCCCAAGGCACGTGCCAGAAGAGCCAACGCTATCTGCCCATAGATATACGCCCTGTAAGGAAGTAGCTCTAGGGACGTTTTTAGATATAGAGGTGGCATTCGACAATACCGCTCTAGAATAGATTAAAACTGCTATAGAAAGCAAGGGAGTACATTCTACCGTGTGTATATGGATATATTCCATGCTAATACATGAAAATATCAAAGCCTCGCTTAACGACTCTGTAGTGGTTCGGGATGCAGGGGGAGGCTTCGCTGCTGTGGTGTTTGGGGGCAGACGGACTGCCGAGGAGATTAAGTGAGCAGGATGCTTTCAATTTAGTGAAAATATGGTGAGGAGAAGAGGGCAAATCCAACAAAAGCAAACCTCATTCTCTTCTCACGTAGAAAAAGTTAATATGATGCAAAATTGCGCATAATTGATATTTTCTTCCACACTAGTGTTAAACTTCTTTCGGATAAAGGAAAATGGAAGAGTTTTATTTGCCTTTGATCCAAGAGATCGCGGATAGCGGATTAAACACGATTTTGACTTTGTTAGTAAATTTCGGCGCACTTTTTTCACACTGGCGGCACCATGTTCTTATCTCGGGTGACGAAAACAAACAATACAGTCGTCTAGGCTATTCTTTAGAATGATCTAAGCTGAAGCTTTAGATAAACTTCGAGATAAAAAAAACTCTTTTCACTGAGTGTTTCTTTAAAGCGTGACGAACTGAAAAAAAATCTGATAAGAGGAATATTTTTAGACGCGCGCCAACGATAATTTACGTACGGCGAACAAACGAAAATTTGCGTTTAAGTTGGGGTTGTTCTCTTACCTTGAGCTTGTGCACCTCCCTTTGGAGTTTGATGACCTGCGACTCCTTGGAGTGGACCTCCTTGCGACTTTCCAAAAGTTTCGTGTGCAGATTGCCGTAGTTCACCTCCAAATCGGCCAGCTGCTGTTTTAATCGGGCGACGGCCGTTTTGAGGCACTCGTAATCGTCGGGTACGCCCCGCGACGAACTTTTGGTCCGCGGCTCCGCGCACATGATTTTCGAATTTTTTCTAATCTGCTGCAGGGTGTCCGATTCGTGCGCGACACTCTGGCGATGTACGCTCGAGACGGCGCCGTTTCCCATTGGTCCGATAATGCCCGATTCCTTTAAATACTTCTGAGCGGGGTCTTCCACTTCTCCGTTTAAATTTTGATAAGAAAGCGCGGTATATTTCAAATACTCCAGGTTCGATTGGGCGCTCTTGCTCAAGAGGTAGTCCGGCGGACGGTCGCTCGTCTTGCGTCTGTCCGGCAACGGTACCGGATAGGGAATTTCGGGATGAGCTAGGAACGCGTCGCGCTGCTGCCGGCTTTGGACTTTGCCTATTTCGGGATTGGACAGCCTCTTGGTCTCGGCTTTCGCGTGGCACGGCGGGGACGGATTCGACGACCTCTTCGGACGCGGCTGGGAGAAGAGCCGCAGTAGCGACTCCCTTTTCGCATTATTGTGACACCCGCACTTTGCGAAGAGACTGCCGCACGTGTGGGACTTTTTGAAATTTACGCGATTGTCCTGATGGATGGATGGGAAATCTAGTGACGCCGATTCCGCGGGGGTCGTCTCCAGTTCACCGTACTCCGGGAGTGATGCGGACAAGGACGGGGACGATTTGATGCATTGCAAATACTTTAATTGCCCAGTTCCGTTTTCCATGGCGATTAACTGAAAGTAGGATACAAATTAGCTTATCTCTCTCTCATTATTTTTAGACTGAGCTATAAACTTGATAACAGTAATGGGCTCCGACGCATGCCGTTAACACACAAACAAACAACTAATGACACATGATAACACAAAACAGGACCTCTCATTTACAAAAATTGTCGATTAGTTTGCGAAACACTAAGTAAGCGACATTTATGCCCCGTTTTGCGTTCTGCGCTCATGATTATCCACCAACTAATAAGCCAATAAACTTTAGTAGAACATTAGCGCCTTGGTAATCTATTTTGTATGGGCTTTTGTTCCTTAAGTTGCTGAACGTGCAGCTTTTGAACTGAGTGCGACAGCCGTTTAGGATTGGTAGTAAAAAAGACACTAACCAATGAAAATTTAGGCATCGATATTTGTAGTAATAATCCGCTATTGTGGGCGTGGGGGCAGGGGAATTGTTTTTGCAGAGCTTCTAAGCATTTGCGTTTTAGCACTGAGAGCGACCAGTCTGGTCCCGATAAGAAGATTCGATAAAAACTACCTGATAATAAAGCAATTGGTTTTTTGGTCGTTGGGGGATTGGTAACGCTGCATTAAGAGCGATAGATTCAGGGTTCCGTTTAAAAAAGTTGAACCGTTTTGATCGGAAATCATATGTTCCGAAATTAAATGTTGTAAACTCGCACAACTCCTGCGTGGCGGAATTTTGTTTTTTGTCTTAGGGGCGAAATTAACGACCTTTTGCAAGGCGCGCGCGCGCGCGTCTTCGAAAAGTACTCAACTTCGAGCGCCTTTTACCTTCCGTTGCGAACTCACGCGGTTTAACGTTTCGTAAATCTCGAATCGCTGTCTCTCTTTCTCGTGTCGCCAATAGAAGCGAATTGCGGGTGAACGGGACGTCGGAAGTGGCTACCATCAAAGGGAATGTGGTAGCCCCCGACACGATTTTAATTTTAAAAGCGAATTGCGGGTGCACGCGGAAAGTGGGAAACGGTTAGTGATTGTAATAGCCTTCGACAAGATCTGTTATTGATGGTTGAGTCGAAAGTGGCTAATAGAATACTGATCTGCCACACAAAAATGCGCTGAAGTTCCTTCGATATCACACGAGGCCTTTGATAATTTTTTCTGCATAGGATCTTGAAATCTCCCTTTGCTGGGTGGTATTCCATCCCCCCTCGCCCCTTGCTGCTACATTCACCCCCAAAACTAACTCTAGTGTATGGAATATTCCTACAGAACAGGAAAATGGATGACACTCCCCACAAAATCATTAGCATACTCATTTTCCTAAACATTTAAATGGAGAAAATAGCACCGAGGAGTCTGGGGGTATGGAATACTACCTCGGGCGCAGAATGAATCGATTACATTTCCCTGGAAAAACACGATGACCGTTTTTCTGATAGGGTCATGAAATCTCCCTTTGCTGGGTGGTATTCCATACCCCCCCGCCCCTTGCTGCTACATTCACCCCCAAAACTAACTCTTGTGTATGGAATATTCCCACAGAACAGGAAAATGGATGACACTCCCTACAAAATCATTAGCTTACTTATTTTCCTAAACATTTGAAGGGATAAAGTAACACCGGGGGTTCTGGAGGTATGAAATACTACCCCGGGTGCAGAAGGAATCGATTACCTTTTCCTGGAAAAACACGATGACCGTTTTTTCTGATAGGATCATGAAATCTCTCTTTTCTGGGGGGTTTTCCATACCCCCCAGATCCCCCGGTGCTGCATTCACCCCCAAAACTAACTCTTGTGTATGGAATATTCCCACAGAACAGGAAAATGGATGACACTCCCCACAAAATCATTAGCATACTCATTTTCCTAAACATTTGAAGGGATAAAATAACACCGGGGGTTCTGGGGGTATGGAATACTACCCCGGGTGCAGAAGGAATCGATTACCTTTTCCTGGAAAAACACGATGTCCGTTTTTTTCTGATAGGGTCATGAAATCTCTCGTTGCTTGGGGGTATTCCATACCCCCCAGACCCCCCGGTGCTACATTCACCCCCAAAACTAGCTCTTGTGTATGGAATATTCCCACCGAACGGGAAAATGGATGACACTCCCCACAAAATCATTAACATACTCATTTTCCTAAACATTTGAAGGGATAAAATAACACCGGGGGTTCTGGGGGTATGGAATACTACCCCGGGTGCAGAAGGAATCGATTACCTTTTCCTGGAAAAACACGATGACCGTTTTTTTCTGATAGGATCATGAAATCTCTCGTTGCTGGGGGGTATTCCACACCCCCAGACCCCCCGGTGCTACATTCACCCCCAAAACTAACTGTTGTGTATGGAATATTCCCACAGAACAGGGAAGATGTGATGGACACTCCCCACAAAATCATTAGCATACTCATTTTCTCTAACATTTTAAAGGTTGGAGAAAAATGTGCAACCGGTGGGTTGGTCTGGGGGTATGGCAATACTACCTCGGGTTGCAGAAGGAATGATTATCTTTCCTGTGAAAAACACGATGACCGTTTTTTCTGATAGGATCATGAAATCTCTCTTTGCTGGGGAGTATTCCATACCCCCCAGACCCCCCGGTGCTACATTCACCCCCCAAAAGGTACTATAGGATATTACCCCCGGTGTTGATCCTTTTCTTGGAAAAACACGACGACCGTTTTTTCTGCATAGGGTCATGATATCTCCCCCCGGTGCTACATTCACCCCAAAACTAACTCTTGTGTACGGAATATTCCCACCGAACGGGAAAATGGATGACACTCCCCACAAAATCATTAGCATACTCATTTTCCTAAACATTTAAAGGGGGAAAGTAGCACCGGGGGTTCTGGGGGTATGGAATACTACCCCGGGTGCAGAGGGAATCGATTACCTTTTCCTGGAAAAACACGATGTCCGTTTTTTTCTGATAGGGTCATGAAATCTCTCGTTGCTTGGGGGTATTCCATACCCCCCAGACCCCCCGGTGCTACATTCACCCCCAAAACTAGCTCTTGTGTATGGAATATTCCCACAGAACAGGAAAATGGATGACACTCCCCACAAAATCATTAGCATACTCATTTTCCTAAACATTTTTAAAGGGGGAAAGTAGCACCGGGGGTTCTGGGGGTATGGAATACTACCCCGGGTGCAGAGGGAATCGATTACCTTTTCCTGGAAAAACACGATATGACCGTTTTTTCTGATAGGGTCATGAAATCTCTCGTTGCTTGGGGGTATTCCATACCCCCCAGACCCCCCGGTGCTACATTCACCCCCAAAAGGTAGTATAGGATATTACCCCCGGTGTTGATCCTTTTCTTGGAAAAACACGACGACCGTTTTTTCTGCATAGGGTCATGATATCTCCCCCCGGTGCTACATTCACCCCAAAACTAACTCTTGTGTACGGAATATTCCCACCGAACGGGAAAATGGATGACACTCCCCACAAAATCATTAGCATACTCATTTTCCTAAACATTTAAAGGGGGAAAGTAGCACCGGGGGTTCTGGGGGTATGGAATACTACCCCGGGTGCAGAGGGAATCGATTACCTTTTCCTGGAAAAACACGATGTCCGTTTTTTTCTGATAGGGTCATGAAATCTCTCGTTGCTTGGGGGTATTCCATACCCCCCAGACCCCCCGGTGCTGCATTCACCCCCAAAACTAGCTCTTGTGTATGGAATATTCCCACAGAACAGGAAAATGGATGACACTCCCTACAAAATCATTAACATACTCATTTTCCTAAACATTTGAAGGGATAAAGTAACACCGGGGGTTCTGGGGGTATGAAATACTACCCCGGGTGCAGAAGGAATCGATTACCTTTTCCTGGAAAAACACGATGACCGTTTTTTCTGATAGGATCATGAAATACTGGTGGTGGTGGTGGCTGAAGATTTTCCATTTCGAACACAGCAGAGGTGTTGGGTGCCCCTCTGGAGGCTCTAAAAAGAGCACCCGCAGCACTCGATACTCTCTGTCCGTGGCGCATTCTTGAACCTTTTAGGTCACTTGTAGGCGAGGCAATTCGGACGATAGGTTGAAGGTATTACCGCTATTACGCAGCTGTTGCCCTAGGGGCCTCTATCTGCCTACTCCTAGGGTGATAGTTCTCGAAGCAAAGACTTACGATCACGAATGCACGGATATTTATACCCCTTCTCTCAGTACAAGCGTTGGTCAATTCGACTTCGGTATGAATAGACACATTTATCGACTCTCCTTGGGGTTATTTTATTATAATGACTCATTCCCATTCATACGGAAAGCAGTATTTATAGTCCCATTTAATTACATTTGAAATAAAATCGCATTTCTAACCGCGATTGTTACTTTATATCTCTAATCCCTTTTTAGCTTAATCGCAGCTAAATACTATCCCTGGCATTTCCTCAGAAAGAGCTTAGGAAACTCCAGAAAAGCGCGCTTAAAGGAAAATGGTGTTTTAAATAGGTGTTGAAGCGAACCACAAATTTAGAAAGACGTTTCAAGCTCTCCAAATCACTATAAAGAGCCCCAGCGGCGCTTAAAACCGACCCCAGATAGGTGTAAAAAGGTTCAAGGGCATGAGAAAACCTTTAAACGCAGTGAGAAGTGCTGACACTTTAGGGACGAGGCTCTGACAGGGTCTGAAAAGATTATAAAATTTGGATACTGACATACAAACTACAGGAGAGGGGGGGGGGGGCTTATGGAATAGATCTCGCTTGGTAAAACAATAATACTCTGGAACACGGTTACTTATGGTAGTTGTTAAGGTCTGTACCCGCCTTCCAGACCCTCTGAACTCTTACCGGATCTAATTAACACTAGAAAGGTCCAGAAAAGGTAAAACCGTTTTTGGTAGGATTGAAGAACTGTCGCGACTACATTAGTTTGTTTTTGAATTTATTCAATAACGATTTGAATACAAAGATTGCCAGCGAAACTATGACGAGACTTATTTTTATAGAAAATTCCACTAGGATATGACGTGACGTTGACAAAAGACAGTCAGTCACGTTTAATTGTGAAGT